CATATACATACACATACACATCCACACACACATTTATTCCTTCGTTCTTTTTTCAACAAATTGAGTTCCAAATTACTTGCACACATTAAATTAGCAGGAAAGAGACAGGATTAGTTAATATTCATCTTTTTTAAAGGTTCCCACTTCGTCCAGCGAAACAGCAAAATTCGAATAAATTTGAAAAATGACGTTTTCAGGATGAAATTGTTTCTGTTCATACGTTTCTGCATATTAGCATGACAAAATTACCTATTAAAGTAAAGAATAAGAGTAGAATTATGTAGGAGAATGAAAGTTAAATGAATGACAGAGTAGAGAATAATGCAAAAGGTTGTCGTACAGTAGCAGAAAGACGAAACGTTCCATGGAAAACTTTGTTTGAATATATCTGGTTCCAAAGGGTCAACACTACTGCATTCCTCTAATATTGGCTCATAATCACACATTCTTTCAATTTACAATTGCTATGAAGGTAAGAAGGGTGAACAAAAGAGCACCTAGACAATTCCATTACATATGCTAAATTAGCTTATCGGTGTCCATAGTGAGTTGTATGGTCACATTTATCTTCTTATTACCTCCCCAGTCATCCTTTTATGTCTTAGATATCTATCCTTCTTTTCCACTAAAGAAAATGAAGACTGGAAAGAATTTTTATTATTACTGAAAGATGGCTACGGTAATTGCCGCTCGTCTAATTAGCATTTTCAATTTGGCGGCTTAGACTTGCTGAGGAAACATTTATCACGGCTGCATTGACGGTGTGTACTTGTTTTGCAAAAACCGCACTGATAAAGAAGAACATTTTTCACAAAAACCCCTCTTTAGTAAAGGAATTGAATCTTCGTCGTTTGATTAGCTCTTCAGATAGTATATAATATATCTTGATGTCCGGACATTTTATCCAGTTGAGTAGTAAAAAAAGAAATTACATTTGTATAATTTCAAGATGACACTAAAATATCACAGTCTTCGTTGGTGTACTCCTTGCATTTGCTGCGAAAACAAAATTTTTTCATCAACTAAAATTCCTAGAAAATTTATAGACCTGAAGTAAATCCGCAGTAGTTAATTAGTGTGATCTAAATGCTTCCAATGGTATAGAGAATGAAATCATATATCGATGGTGATTTTATAATAAAATATGAATATAGTTTACTTCATATTCGATAACTCTTCCTTATAATATTGTTTTTTTTTCACGAATAAATCCTGAAAGCTGTTTGGAGTTATGATGATAAAACAATTAAAAGATTAACTTCTAATAATATTTATAGCATGTTATTTATAACATGGACAACTGATTAAATTGTTTATCCACTCTTAATGTTTTCATTTTCGAAATTAAATTCGTTGTAATTTCGAGGAATCGAAAGTATTTTTTCTTGCACCGGATTTTCCCATATGTCCTACCAAAGTATGCCTTGAACTTTTCTTTAAAGAGCAAAACCTAAAGTTTAGGGTGGTCTAAGTAGGATGGATGATAGGACAGATCTCCAAAAGAATACCAAAAATATTAGGAACAGAAAAGTTTGCAACGATTAATTGATGAATGTATCGCCGATTGAGTTTTTTGAACTAACCACCAAATGCATATTTACATAGAATAAAATTATTCGATCCATGAGAGAGAATGGTAACAAAAATGTTGGAGAAAGAAGAGTGAAGACAATATAAGTAACCAACAACTGACGCTTTTTTTCCTTTCTTACCTAATCACTTTTCATCCTAAAATTCTTGACTCGTGGAAGAATCAAATAAGAATTCTAAGATGGAACCATCGTCGGAATGAAGGAGAATCAGATGGATAAATTTTTATATTGCAAAATGGATTAGACTTAGCAAGGAGAAAAAAAAGAAGAAATGCTTTTTGCTTTCTTAAGAAAATCTGTGCGAGGGAAAGAGAAAGAAATCGGTAAGATAACGATTTCGGAATGTTTTTTGTGGAACTACAACATTCTCACTTTTCCTTTTTTCTTACTGCTTCAAGTTCACACTTTAAAAATTCATCAAAAAAATATTGTTTTTTTCTTTCTATTTCGAAATGAATGTACAACCTTAAAGGAAAGGTCAGAAGTGAGAAGTTATTTAATGGGTCTGAAAATCTGATGATCAGCAAACAAGGGATGTTTATCATTTTCTTACCTCATCCACAATTAACTTCTATAAATTTGTTTTCTGAAAAATAAAATTAAAATTATTAACATAGTTATTTTCGCCAATTTTTTGGCTACATGATGGAAACTTGAATGGTGTTAAAGGATATTTATTTAAAGCCTGTGAAATATGAGTTAGTTCTCCTCATAGTTATAATGTGATTTCAGGTTAGTTCCAGATTTATCTAGAGAATGTATTGGCGTAGCGTGTGTCTTCTCGAAGGGTTAAAGTTTCGAGAATAACAATTGCTTATCAATCTAAAAGGTTTTTATGCAACAGATAGAGATTTTTGAAAAAATAAAAACTCCCTAGGATATAAGTAATTAATAAGTTCTTCTCATAGTTATAGTTATGATATAACTTTTTTTTGAACTTGACGAATTTTGCTGATGCATAATCGACATGATGCAAGTCCTAGTTATTGCGGATAAGCGCAAATAAACTAACTAAGTGTAACTTATAGCATTCTGTTATTGCAATACATTGGAAACCCCCAAAAATTTTTGCAAATTTTATACAATGCCAAGATGATAAGTTTTTGGGTGGTCATTTACGCATACGGGAACCATCCAACTACCATTCTCTGAAATAAATAGAATTGCCAACATTTTGTGGCTAACGAAAATATGATATAAATTTTTTTAAAATAGAAACGAAAAAAAAAGGTGAAATAGCAACAATTGTATAAAATGTTGGCACATTTCGTATTTGTTATTCTACAATAAACAGCCACCTTTATGACAAACGCCACTCTCGATCCTTTTACTCTTCTATCCATTCACATTCCACACTTTACTTCACTCTTCTCAATTTCTGGCCATACCATTCCTAGCAACATTACGGTGGTTAGCTAGCTATTTTCTTTCGAAAATTTGATATTTTATCATTTTCAAAAAAAGAAAAAAATCTTCTAAACTCTTTGAGTCTCAATTCTTATCTTTAATAATTGAATCTAATCTCTTATTTTGTAAATTTATGGCCATTTCATTTCTTGTCAATGCCATATACAATTCCATTCAGCATATATGAAAAATAATTGGTTTACGAATCTTTTTCTCTAACTTATGTTGCATAAAATTCTTATCAAATTTCCATGATCTGAACTTAATTCCTTTTTCGAAGCTGACATCTAAGCAATTTGTAATTTTAAAATACTTTAGCTACTAAACTGCAAGAAATAAACTCTGCTAAGCATATATTCTATGGAAATCACCTAGTAAATGACTAAAAAGTTAAGCTATAATCAACTTAAATAAAATTTCGAATTACAGGGATGAGACGAATTGTCGCATTGATTCTACTTTTGCTACAAAATGCGTTTACACTGCGTGAAAATAGTGCTAGTGGACGATTTAGAACAAGCTGTACGTATTATTTTATTGCTTTTTTAAATCCAATATATTAGTGGTACATTTTTAAACCATTAAATTAAGAATACTTTGAGAAGTCGAAGCATTTTTCAAATACAATATTTTTTTAAACAGCACTTTGTTTTTGTTTATATCATACTCACTGCTACAAAATCAATTCACTTCAGTTCCAAACTTAAAATCACTCAACAATTCAACAGAAGTTTACCGTGAAACTGTAAGTTGATGATCTCTTTATGCCGCGAGAAAATTATTGAAATTAAACGTACAATTTGTTTCATACATTATTTAATATGAATTTTGCTTCATTTTTTCAGAAAAGTGAAAAGTAAAAGTTGAAAAGAGAACTATATCACATTTGCGCCTATTATTATACAACAGCATTTGAAGAAACATAAACTTTAACCTAGATAATTTTGCGCATTCTTTTCATTATTGTATTGCTGATAAATTACGTAGTATCACTATTCTTCAGATAATTTGAAAACGATGGAAACTTTACATCCCTTCGCTCAAAATTAACCAATCGAAAGAAGAATTCCTTTATATTTCCAGTATTTTAGCAGGTTCAGTCGACAGTGTCATCCATTAAAAATGACAATTGGGAAGTTGACATGATACAGAAACTGCGTCATTTGCAAACGAAAGTTGACGAAATTCTGAGCTGTTGCAAAAACAAATGTCTCGGGAAAAATGAAACTGTGACAGAGGTGAGCAATTAAGACTTATTTGCTGTAACTGTTGCAGTAAGCATATATTCATCTTATACTTGTATAAATCAATGAAAAATAGTTACTTTAGAAATTATTTTATATCATTCCCTCGACATCCTTCCAGGAAATATATTTAATCTGAAGAGAATTGGTTTTGCGAAAAACTGAAGTATTGAAATACTTTCAGGAATTCTGTAATGAGAAATTAACAACACAAACAACAGCGCTCAGGTCATGTCATGCACAATTTTTAAACTTAATATAGTTATGCCTTTCAACGCAAGCAGTCAAATTTTTGCTCCAAATCACTTTGGAATGCTAACAGACATATTAATTTTAAATTGCACTCAAATTAAAAATAAAAAAGTTAGCATTTTTGAAGTTTCAAAGCTATCACTTTTTGACAGATGCGTTTTTCACTATTCAATTTGGCGTGCTATCTTATAGATAGCAAAATGCAACAAAAAATTTTTCCTGCTACACAATATCCGAATAATAAGAGTTTAGACCCAAAACTGTGAAAATGATACTTCCGGTACGGAAATGTATCTCGTGTCCTTGTCCAGCAACTCCAACAACTTGTCCAGTAATGCCTTTTGATCACTGTCCATGCAATGTGCAAATTAGTCAGCTTCTACCATGCCCTATCGTTTCAGGTAAACAATTCTTGGCTTTAATCTCCAATATGTTTTTTAAAATCATACAAAAAATTCATTTGTGAGACTTGAAACTTGAATACAAAATTCACTGAATTTTTTTAAGTGTGATTTGTAAGTTTCAAGTTATTATAAAATGTCTATTTTGCATATGTTCGAAAGACATTTTGATAAAAACACTTTGCATATATTTTTTGAATTTATTTAGTAACAATGTGATTGAAAAGAAAACTTTACTATTGTTCCATTATCTATCTTATTTTACAAATATTATTACTGCACTTTTTCACTTCAATTGTTTTGTTAGTTTCAATGATGCATTACCAATAAGTGGTCAATTGCACTTCTCTCCAATAGCATTCATTGCTGTTTACTTTTTCACTTGCTCCTATACTCTTCTGTACCAAAATCCTAATTCCTGTCCTGAATATTTGAAATTCATGATCAAGCAATTAGTCCCAATTATTTTCAAGTATTGTTTTCAGGCACGTTTCAGGTAAGAAGTCGGCGCCGAAAACGACAAATGGGTAAGCAATCTGTATGCTACGATAAATCATATTTAATTCGAACTATATTTTATCATTTTCAACTTTGAACTGATTTTAAATTTGTTCATTATTTAAAACTTGATTTTTTGTGAGTATGAAGAAATTGATGGGCTGAATGGATTTTTGATAAACATAGCTGACCAATATTCAAAACGGAAAAGGTCAAATAAAAAGATTAGAGTATTATGAAGCAAATGTAGACTTCAGAAATGCAAAGTTTTCAGTAGAAGTAATAGTACCTCTGGACGACAAGCCAGCAATTGAGTATCTTCGGAGACTTGGATATGTGGAAGAATTCAACTTATCATCTGCAAATATTTGTCACCCGATAAGCTTATCAGCCAATGTTTTATCTCCAGATGAGGTTCGTTCTTGGCAACTTTTGAAATTTATGCATTTGTTGGGAATGCGAAAATTTTTATGAGTTCCATACAGAATCTTACTGTCGGTGTTTCTTGTCCCACTAATTGAGTTAAGTAGGTGCTGATGGTGGGAGAGATTGAAAAGTTCCATAGAACCTTACAGTCTCCTTAATGGTTTGATAGAAAATCCATAACTCCATGCAGAACTTGCAAAATATTTTATTTTTTCGCTCATTTCAAGTATTTAGTTTTAGAAAACAGCAGCAGTGGTACCGGTACCAATGCAACCATTTCAGGCTGCACTGTTCGCTCAGCAACAAATACCCATTCAACTTTTAACAAATGTGAGTCAAATCATGCACAATTTCTTTATGATATTTGTAGTACTATACAAAAATATATTAATACACTCACAATCTTCCATATCTCCTTTAATAACAGTCTTCATAGTCCATGCCGCAACAGTTTGCATTTGGCGGAATAAATGGTGTGCAACCACTGAATTTTGCGCTTGTGTCTCAGCAGCAAGAGAAACAACAACGGATGATACCTTCCGGATCAGCTGAACAATCTAAATTGACAGATTTACTTGCATCTCCACCTAACACTCAACTAAAGATAAATGACGTACGTATTGTTTTCGTCTTTTTTTTTTTGACGATAATCTTTGTGAGAGGTGAAGGTGCTCCAGACACCAATCGCAATGATCAAAACAATAGCGGGGTGAGTCCGACCAGACTCTTTTTTCAAATTAAACAGAACAGTCTTATGACTGGCTCTTTAAGAAGCCGGACATAAGACTATTCTGTTTGATGAACTCATAATGCAGTTAGTTTGTTTGTTGCAATAAAATGCATAAATTTATTAAATGATTACTTCAAATGGAAAGGAAATAGGTCACTATCCAATACCTTTCTTTGATTCGAGATTTTACTAGAATTCAGCAGATATTGCAATTTTATAGATATTGCAATTTCTTTTTTTTTTTTGTTATTGCAATTTCTATTGCAATTTTCGGAAATATCGTAGTACATTGAGTTTTTTCAGTACAACAACTTCGTTGAGTAATTACTGACCTTATGTAGTTAGAAGTGGGATCGAATTTAAAATCAAAATCAGAAATTAAAATATATACCTCTTTCTTAATCTCAGGACTGCCAACCTCCACGAATAACGAAATCAGCCGCGGCTGCAAGAAGCGGGATTACGTTAATTGCGCTCACGGTCTTTGTCTCGATAAAATCATCATAATGATACAATATATAATCTCTTCTGTGTGCAACTAAAAATGTCTAATTTCACATGCAACAAGTTTTCATCTGCGACAACTTGCGCTTATTAATCTTTTTTTTGGCTGAGGTTCAAATTACACTATGTCTAAAATACATTTTTCTCATCACGTATCATTATAAAAGGTTTTAAAAAGCAGTTGGAATATCTAGAAAGTTTAATAATTTTAATATTTGGTAATGAACACATTTTGAAAAGTTTTATTTCACACCTAAAATAAGTATCAAATTTTAGAATGGGCTTTATGATACTGCCTGTTATTTGTTTATAACAAGGAAAACTCTTTGTTTATTATTAATTTACAGTACTGAAAATAATCAAAGCAATAGCCTTCGATCTTTCAGAATGAGCAATTTTACTGTCTTTATGAATCCTAAAGATGGAGTACTCGTTGTTAAATGAAAATTAACTTAGGAAAAGTGGTCAGTATTTTCCAAAATAATCAGGCAGCACAAGTTAGTAGCAACCTCATGCAATCATGATCGGAGCCTTCCACAAATGATGAGATGATGTACACTTATGTACACGGATGTGCAAGTGATAAGATTTACACTGCAGGAATTACTGTAAAAAAAATGAAAGCGAAGTGAACTCATTGTTAAGCATAAAAAAAAGCGGTTAAGAGTTCAAATCATGTGATAAAACAAAGACTTGCACTCCAGTAATTAGTGAAAAATATATTTCAAAGTTTAAAGAATACAAGGAACAATTTGTGTCTTCTGAGAGGACTGAGGTGTCACGCTGACTGATTCACTGTAAATGACTAAGGAATGCTATGTTGAATAGAATATATGATAATAAGACAGATTGCTGTGAAAATTAGCACTTTTACTATTTTCTGCATTCCTTCCAGCTGAATATATATTATGTAAATTTGTCGAGAATTAAAAATAGGATTGAAATTACTACTTGAGACCATTTGTAATTTTTCATAGTTTGTGTTCGCGTGTCGCAACTAAGATACGTATGCTAGAAAAGAGATGCCGCCAAAAAAGGTTTGTTGGCAATTTGAGAAATATATGAAATGAGAAGTGGAAGGAGTTTTTTCGGGATGACCGATCCGAAAAGAGATGATGACAGAAAGGAAAGATTAGAAGTGAGTTCTGCAATGATCTAAGACATATCTTTAGCGACCGACGACGACCAAGGGAAGAATGGTGTGCTCAGTGGATGAAAGGAGACAATCGAAGGGTGTTGCTCGTCGTCGCACAATTCAAACCGATTTTCGGGCTCCAATTGGAAAAAAATTTGTCCACAAAGCAGTAGTAAGCAGCAATAATAATTCTGTAATAAAATCGCGGTACCATACATATTGTTTTGCTATAGTATCCTGTTATTTCCAGTAATGTTTCGAGGAAACATTCGATGAGTCTTCCTCATCTGAGTCTATTATCAAGCCTGTCATTTAACAGATGCCAAGTTTTATTTCAGATTAGCACAAGTATTTTTTGCATTGAAAAGAGTTAAAAAAGAGTTGGCTGAAAAGAGTTGCCTTTCTCGTATACCCGTCTAGGTGTACTGATGCTTTCAATTTTCCAGCTTCATTTCTTCATTTCCTCTTGAGTGCTATGTCTGGTGAAATACAATGAAATTTAAAATTCCCAGTCCTGACCCAGTTAATCTAGGAAAAATCGGGTAAAGCAATGACGAAATATTCCGAACCACAGAAAAAAAGACGTTATATGAACTCTGGGCTGACCAGGTGATCGAGATGGGTATTCGGAACATAAGGCGAGAATTTGTCACTGCAGTGCGAACATATAATCCACCTGGCACTACGAATGCTTGGGAAGCTGATAAAAATTACGACAAAAATCGGTGAATCTCATTTCAGAAATTTTCAAATTTGCTAAATTCCTTCAAAATAATTGATTTTACAAAGGGAAATAGAGAAAATCCATAAAGTCTACAAGTTTTGCAAAAAATTAAGGTTCGAAGACATCAAATTGCTGGACAAAACAAGAGTAGTTCTCAAGAACACACCTAGCAGTAAGTGATCATTTTTTATTTTAAAATAAACAATGTAACTACACGAATTCATGATTTTGTCAGAAATTGTATTTCACGAAATGCCAAATAACTAAATAATTGAAATTGACTGGAATTTAACTAAGTGAAATTCAAAAAAGAATGAAGCAAATAACAACAGGTGATGATTACTATCATGCTTCATACGTACAAATTGGCGAAAACGTTAATTTCATTTGCGCGCAAGGACCTTTACCAAATACTATTGAAAATTTTTGGTGTATGGTCATACAAGAAGATTCAAAGGCCAGTAAAACAGACACGGAGTTAATTTCTGCCTATTTTAATCACGGAACTTGGCAGTGAAGGCACTGCTGTTGCTGTTTAAGGTTTTTCTGTAGATTGCCACCCTACTTTTACTTCCAAAGCTATACAGCATGATCATTATTCATATCTCTGTAAGACTGAAATGGTTATTACAGGTAATAATACAATTATGTCAGTGGATTGAAGAGGGCAAAAATCAGTGTGCCGAATATTTCCCAAACGGTGATTGGGAATGGAAAAATTACGGAGCCATTCGTGTCAAAATTGTTGAAAAAACTTCACCTGTGACACAGCTTAGAAAAGTTTATCGAACAAAAATACAAGCTATTTACAAGGATAAAAAGCACGAGGTTAATACAGAATCCGATGAATACTCTAGTCCCTGAATTAGATGGCTCACTCAATATTTGCAAAAGTCAACACTAATTTAAAACTTACAAAATCAACATAAAATTAAAAATTGAATTCCTAGCTAACTCTTTTATGTTTCCGAAATTTTTTAAACCATTTGATTTAAAATAAAGGTACTGAAGGTCCTATTTTTGATTCAATCCGTTGATACATTGGAGTTTTTAGATTCCAAATGAGAGTTTTACCTCCAAATTTAGTTGGTCATTTCCAAAACCAAAAAGTTTAATTCAAAAATGTTATAACGAATTTTTAAATGTTCATTAGTCTTAAAAAACCAGTTGACTAATTTGTTGCTTCAATAGATTTGTTGGGTAACACCTTATTACATGCTTATTACATGCTATTACTTCCTAGAGTGAAGCAGCAGCCCATTATTAAACAATCGATTTCATTAGCAACTTTATCAATATTAACTTTTTATGATAACACATATATGCATCAAGTGCCTGTAAAAGTGTATTCCAAAATTTGCTTCAATACTGTAAAACATATCAGTGAACGTTATAGAGACTGTCCGAAGCTATATAATGATCGATCACCTGAGTTACTTTAAACTCATATGACTTACTTTGAAGGTATTACATTTATTGTATGGTGGTTGGCCGGATCACTTTGTAGCAGAGTCAGCACCAGTATGTCGTGAAGTACGAACGCTGGCTCTGAAATTTTCCGAAAAAAAGCCAATAATTGTGCATTGCAGCGCTGGAATTGGAAGGTAATCCATTTCGAAATGAATTAAAATTCATTACAGTGAATTAAAAGGAAACATAACTGAGATTCGAAATTGTAGATTGGAAAGTAAATTAATGCGATACTAACCTGCTACTTGAACTTTCTGATTAGTCAGTAAAAATTTTTATTGAAATTATATTGATAAAATTGGAAAAAAGAAAAAAAGAAAATCCAAAATATTGGAAAATTGCGGATCTTGGCAACTTTTCAACTGATTAGGTTAGCGACCCTTCCAGAAGAAACTTTTCGTAGGAGGGTAGAAAGACTTACTGAACGCATTATATCCTAACCTGTTGTACCTGTAGCTTCTCATTTTTTTGAAATTGGATTTATTATTTGTTTATTACGTAAATGATTCCGATTGGGAGTGAATGATTGAAAATCGTTGATTTACGGTCTTAAGCTAATTTTGAAGTTTTGCAAACTTTTTGTGATTTTAAGAAAACATTTAAAATTATGGAAAATATAGCTTTTAAGGCACTGAGACGTGCATTCCCTTTCATTGGGATAGGTACATTCAGTGAGAATATTAGTATATTTTTAGTATTATCTGTTGTCTGTAGATGGGATTTCTCCTTTCGCTTTCTAGTTCAGTTTGGATTCAGTTCAATGATTGGATCTTTTCTACTGTTTGATGCATTTTTATTTTTTGTTGTTTAATTACTATTCGTTTTCACTGTATTGAAAATGGAATTGGTAAATGAAATTATCTTTTCGGTACTGCTTTTACCCTTAATTCATTTCATTAAAAGAGTGGAATGGTCAGATATATCAAGCGTACAAATTTTAAAAAAAGCTGGAAATCAAATTCGCATAAGTCAAAAAAATTCGACCGAATTTTCAGAACAGGCACATTTGCAGCCATATTTATGGCAGTTGATCGACTTAAACATAATGAAAATCTTTCAATTCCTGATATTGTTAAAGAATTACGTGATCAAAGAATGCATGCAGTGCAAAACGACCAGGTAATCATCATCGTAATCGACTGATTTAACGCTGACAATATTTCATGCTCCTTTTAACTCGCTTTTTAAAAATGGAAATAACAATGGAAGATTCTGAACCATCGAAGTAATTGCTTTGAAACACTGAAAAGAAACTAAAATGGATTGTAAATCCTCACCGAGATGTAATTTGTCTAAATGGATCGTTGTGTCATCATTTTCTGTTACGCGAAAAGTAACGGGTGAAGTGAAAAGATTCTCTGAGACGTGGTAAGTGGTAAGTGATTAAAATCAAACGACTATAAAGGGATAAATTCCTACAACATGCTGACAAGAACGAACAAAATCCTCAGTGTAAATCGAAAGTGGTAGTGATTTGGATTCAGGATTACTATTTCATGCTGTAGCAAATGTTTCAGCAGTATTTATTCATCTATCGAATGGTTATCGACATTCTGCTGGCAGAGGATTTATTGATCAAAAGTCCGGAAATAATATCACTTATCAAGGAATATGACGATCTTATTGCGCGGAAACGTCAAGAAAGAAATCAGAAGGGTAAAAAATGAGTGATTAATTCAAATTGCTGACAATGCATTATTTAATTGCATCTATTCTTTGTTTTTTAAATTGTGCTTTATGCTTGCTAGCTATTCAGAAAGGAAACATCGCATTATGCAAATAATTTCTGATCTGCTATTAAAACTTTACCACCGTATAGGTCGCAGAATTCAAGATGTGCAGAACATGTGCACGTCACAAATATCATCAATTATCATCACCATTCAGTCAATATGCAGTCTAATTCGTATGACTTAATGACATTTCTTGCGTTTTGTAGCCATTTGGGATGGCGCTGCTTTTGAAGTCTAAACTGTTTTAAGAAAGCAATTTTTTCTTTCCGAAAAATGCACGACTAATTATCACGTCTTCCCCAACATTACCACACTGAAATAGGATATAGGGATATCTTATTCCAGCCAGATTAGCCTTCATCATAAAGGGCAAACATTGCTAGGCCAAGATGCAAATGCGTTGAAAAACAAGTTGCTAACCTTAATATGAAGAAATTATGAGAGGATTTTATAAATTTCAGTTGATAAAAGTGCATGGTTATATGTTGGACAGTTGAAGTCAGTGCTCACCCATCTTATTAGGTGTCTGTTAAATGGTCTTTCCCAGAAATTGAACAGACACACCCTTACAAGGCACAAATATATCCACTTTGGTATAAAACTGTATCGACTAGATCGTCTTCCTGGATATTTGCTTGCTCGCTAATAGTTGTTAGAGAAGATGGCAATTGCTTAGATTTAACTTACTCATTTGTTCTGTATTTGATCAGTCATCAATTTCAAGGAGTCTTTTCTGCATTAAAATTAGCGTAGCCCTATTCCGACTCTCATAAAATTTAATCTGAAGGTGAAAAAAAGTACTGCTCAATATTTTTGAACATCGTTCTCAGTTTTACTAAAATTTTGCTTGAAAATCATCCATGACACAAACAATTATTTGATTTGTCTTTGCAGAAGTCGTATTTTATCATAATTTTTAATGTGGAGTATCTCCACACCCTTTTTATAGAATTGCATCTCAAATGACAAGGGACTTTTTAATTTTTCAGTTTTTTTATATGAAGATTTCAAATGCTTGTTAGAGTATCTGCAGTTTTCCTGGAATTAAATAAGCAAAACAATAAGAAGAATCTTACTGATTTATATCTAATTCTTTGCGGACTGTTAACAGAGAATGCTAACTGCCGAAATAATTCAAAAATAAGCTAAAGATGACAGATTTATCGCAAAAGATCTACTATCAATGTTTGAATTTCATGCATGTAACATCTATAATTTGAATCTCAAAATAGTTCGTTTATAAATTAATGGTCAGTCTCTAACCCTAAACC